AGGCACTTGCTTGCTCTTGAGTCTATGTATCTTCCCATAGCTGTTCATCCCTTGGGTATGTATCAAAATAAGGGACCCACAACATAGTGGTTCCCCTTGTCTTTTCACTTTGACCAAGACCAAACGGATACCGTCACAACGCAAACACAACTAAATATTGACTTGGGGGGCAACGTGGACCATGACACAGGACCATGGGTTTGTCCAAGCCCTTCATTAGGGTTTCCTTTCCGCTTGTGCAGCCATACGCCGACATTATCCTTTCTTGTCCTGTATCCAAAGGCACAACAGGCTGGACACTTGTTTGGACATCTCTTTCCTTCGACATCTTGGCGTGCTTCAAAGTCGGTCTTTGCTCTCTCCAGATGCTACCCATTGCTATCCGCCTCATTGGAAAGGCATTTCTGTGGAATCAGACGAGATGCGCAAACACTTGCGGAAGCCTTGGAGCTGGTCAGGAGAGAGCATATATTCCTACAGGCGGGATTGCTCCTTGTGTTTTGCAGAGACTTCGTTTTTCTGCGAAGGAGCAAGCTCGCGAGCCTTCACATCCGATTTCGGCACAGAAGGTGCCCAACTTGCCGGTTGGCAAAAGGAGCAACTGGCGCCGGAAACGGGCGCCGGATCGGGGAGTCAGCGAGTCGGCGAGGCGCGGGGGGGAGCCGCCGCTCTGAAATTTGGGGGATTTACAGGTGCATGGTAGTGTCAACATGCGGAGGACTATGCTCAGAGGACTCCCTTTTCAGCGGGAAATTCAGTCATTTTTGGGGGATTCCTCTCATCCATGAGGTCAGGGATGACCTTGATGAGGTCGGAGATCACATTCTGTTTGCTTTGGCTAGTTGGCAAGCTCAATGTCATGAACGTCTCCCCATCTCATTGGTAGAATGCTGGAAATGGGAGCAGCATCTTTGCAAGGCCCTTTTCTGAGAGTCACAAGTTTTGGTAGAAGGCCAGCAGTTCCGTGTCCTTTTCTGGTCCGTCGAGGGCACTCTTTTTGAGGGTGTTTTCAGCGGAAGCCCAAGAATACGCATCCAAGCGGCTGTCAGCGCGGCGGCTTATGCAAATCACCAGCCGTTCTTCGGCGGGGATAGGATATGCAAATGCACACGCGGAGAAGACAACACATGCGAGAAAATGGAGCTGAAAAAGGAATGGTCGGGTGCTCAGGGAGAGAAGCCAAGCCAATTGGGATGTCAGCAGGAAGGAATGTGTTTGTTTCACCTAGGTCGAAGTTGGGATTTGTGAAGATAGCAGGTGCACGGACCCGGACAAAGAGTAGATCAAAGCGCTGGCTGAGTGGGGCAGTCGGATGTTGAATTGTCAAGTTCCTAGCGCTGGTTCTGAGTACAAACTCAGTGCGAAATGCGAACAATTCTGGCTTGCCGCAGGTGCGCGTTTCATGCGGGCTTGGGGGGGGGGGGCAAATATGTGTGTGTTTTTTTTTGTGCAAATATCGTGTTTTTTTTTTTTTTTTGTGTGTAAGCCCTGAAGGCCTTGTATATGCTTGTTTGGGCTCCCTCCCCCTCTCGAAGCATGGGGGCCAGGCCTGAGATAGTTGCATTGCTACCGGCTGCGGGGATACAGCAAGCTTCGTGACAGCCGGAACCAGCCTACCGCGGTGATGGTTCACCCCTGTCAGCGGTACTGGAACTGAAGTGGCCAAACCATTGAGCAGTATTTGCCATACATAGTGTTTCAGCAGATGGCCTTTTTGCCAAGGCCAAACAATCCATGTTTCGAAGTTCAACGGACCACCCTTCCAGTGCCTCTTGGACTTTACTGACATTCGGAAATCATACAAGGGGCCATGGGAGCTCTGCCTCAACCGCAGGACATCCGCAAATATCCATAGCAAAGCCCGCCCAACCAAACATGCACCCACAAAACCTGGAGGGAGACACACACCAAACATACACCAGAGAACCTCCGAACTTCGCTTTTCGCTTTTGGGACGCTGAGATTCGATTCGACTCCCCCAGCGGGCGGATGTTCTGGGACAGCGTGGCCTGGGACGAGAAGCGCTGCGCCGCCTTCGCCGAGCTCGCGCTGAGGCGCCCTTTCGGGATCGCGGGGAGAGGGCGGTCTTTTTGAGGCGAAGGGTCGCATTTTTGGGCAGCTTCGAAAGGGAAGCCAAAGGGGAAACCCACCGGTTTGGACTTTAGCTTGCATGAGGAGTAGGTTTCGGACACACATTGCAGAATTGGAGATGGAAGCTGATGCAGAGCAAACACAGGTATTTGTACACATATACGTATGTAGATGCGTGCGTGCGTGTCAACCTCTTTCAAACGAACCTTGCCTAACCTACCTACCTGCCTTGCATTCCTAACCTGGCTTAGCTACCTAACCTACCCAACCTACCTAGCCCTCCTAACGTGCCCAACTCACCAACCAACCACCAACCAAACAATCAACCAACCAAGCAAGCAAACAAGCAAGCAAGCAAGCAGGCAGGCAGGCAAGCAGGCAAGCAGGCAAGCAGGCAAGCCAGACATGCTGCTTCATGATGGTTTTTAGTGGGGAGTAGGGCTGACTGTTTTTGTTTGTTTTTAGCTTGGCAGTTGTTAGTGGAGAGCAGGGTCAAAAGGCCAGCTTTTTGTGTGGGAGGAGGCAAAGGCAGCTAAAACCTGAAAGAAGGTAGTTTTTTTTGGGGAGGGGTATGTGTTGTTTCCCCTTCTTTCCACAGATGCTTGGTGTTCCCCCTTTCCTCTTTTTGAAACTGACTTTTGGGTTTTCCATGACATATGGATCCGGTTCTGTGTGTGGATCTCTATGGCGGAAATGAGGATCCAAAGCAACGGTTCGGATGGGCGTTCGAGAATCCTTTTCAGGGTTTATGTTGGTGTTTTGTTTCCTGGCCAATTATCTACATTTGTGGCAGGGTCTGTGGAACAACCCGTTTTCCTTTCTTTGGTCCGCACAGCTTCAAACCACCTGGTTCCTTTGAACACATCCGGGTTTCCTTTGCGGAGATCCGCCCAGTAAGGATATCCGCCAGGGAATTCGGTCGATTGTTTAGACCCCACCTGTACCCCAGTGAGTACAACAGCTGAAATCAGGGATTCCTTAAACAACCTTCACCACGTTTTCGGCAGATCATTGCTCAGATCCAGACCATTTCGCACGAGAAAAGTGCTGAACGATTTGCTCGCGGAAGATGTTGGGGATGCTGGGAATGTTGGGGACACTCACAATGCTGGTTGGTGCATGCGTGATGGCTAGTGATGCCAGCGATGCTAAAATTGTCACTTTCAGCAACAGTATTTTGGCAACTGTTTCACTTCACCTTCGAACCTTCACCTGCATGTTCCAGGGCGATTGATCCGGGATTTTGTCACGCGTCCTTAATTGCCCCCGGAGCCGGGCAGCTGGAATCAGGGCCCGAATGAATCCGGGCCGCGAATTCTGCACGGAGCTGACAAGAGGGTGAGCCCTTTGTAGAATGCAGAGCAACAAAGAAGAACCGAAGTCCAGCTCGTTTCTTCGGGTATGTTTTTTTGGCACCGGCTCTTGCTGCCCTGAGTTAGAATCAGGCTTACATGCGCAAATGGTTAACGTAAACCAAACATTTTATACTTGACTCAACTGAAAATCGACATGCCTGCAAATCGACATGTCTGAAACACCCGGAAAGGAACTCCATTGGCGGAGCCCTGCTTGTGGTGCCATGTGAATTCGCAGGGGTTTGTTGCGCCGCCTCCAGGTTTGGGTTTGCAGGCGGGGAGTTGGGAGCGTGCCGAGTGGGCCAGGTCACCCTTACTCGTTGGTGTTGAGTGCATGGCTGATGTGTTTGTTTTGCTTTCCTCATTTTGTTTGTCAAACAGTAACAGGACATTGTGCTTACGCGGAGATAAATTCAAGCACTAGTTCGCCAGTTTGCATATTCTGTCTATCCAGATGGCCACGCACCTGAAGATCAATTGATTTGATGTTTAGATGATTGAGATGGCTGATCGGCCAAAGCACTTCAGACATCAACCTCCGGACTATTCTCCCAGGTATGCATGCATCAAGCGGCGGTATCACGTCTTTCTGTACGCCTTTCGTTCAGACATGCGGGCCTTTGTTCAGCATCCCTCGAGGAGTTGAGGTGTTTGCAGACACGTTCGAGCGGTTTTCTAGTCTGACTGAGCGCGTATTTGCATATAGTTCCCTTCAGAATCAGGGATCATGAATTTGGAATATGGTGGATTACCTTGAATCCCGTGGTCATTGTATGTGGGCTTTTGTTGGAGTTCATTTTGCCCGCAGACGAGATGGCAACTTTGACCATCCTCAACAACCAAACACGAAAAATGGATGACCCACATGGTTAATCAAGCTGGCGCATGGATCCCTTCACAAAGTGTGCTCACCCCAAAAAATAACGACCTTTTGTACCCGAACTCTCGCGTGTGCGCACGCGCGCGTCTGCGCGTGCAGCAAAAGCAGCTGGCGATGGATCGCGAGATGTCGAGGCATCGCCCACAATGTGACCCTCTCCGGCGCGGAGGTGCTCGACCTGGCCAAGCACCAGCGAGGGTGTCCCAGAGCTTTGCGCATTTGGCCGGTCGCCTTGGCTTGGGGGGTGCGGGGTGGGGGGTGGGGGTGGAGGTGGGGGGGGTCTCAAGCTTGCGGACCTCCGTTCGGTTGGAATTTAAAGGGACGCCGGGACCGGGAGGCATGTTTTCCTTGGATTCGGGCTATGTGATTAGATGAGCGACCCTTGTATTTTTGTTGGCTTCCCTTGTCAGATTGCATTCTCTGTGTACAGTGAACAGTGGCCCTCGAAGGATACACTCACCGTTATCAGCTGATGAGAGGCTCCAACTCCTTGTAAAGCAGGTGGTTTTTGGATCCAAATCTATTTTTTTTGATCCCTTGGAAACGACCGGTGAAAATGACGAGGGAACAGACAAAGACAAACCCGGGTTTTCCCTTTTTCGGACCTGTGCCTCAAGTCTCCGAGCCGCTGCCAGTGGCTCCCAATGGAGGGCGATGCCAAGCGTCGGAAAGCCATGGAAGCCACGGGGGAGGAGGCGCTGCGGCTGCTGAAGGAGCCCAAGGCGATCGATCCATCGATCCATCGATCCGCGCCGAAGCCGCGGCGCGGTGGTTGCAGCGGTTGACAAATTTGGTCTGCAGAATTTTGTGGCGAGCTCACCGATTCGGGGGCAAAACGACCATGGTAAAGATCATTTCCTGAGAGGTCCCTTGTTTCAGGTGGTGGAAACATTGAATCTTTTGCAGATTTGGTTGGGCTGGGAAGTGTGTTTCGAAAGCTGGGGAGTGGGGGCGGGCACATTTCAGGGGAGCCACAATCAAAACCAGGGATGAAGGTTCATAGGGTCTCATCCATAGTTGGATCCGGCCAGCCTTTTGATGCCAGGTTTGTTGTGGCCCAAACGAACATTTAGTTACATCAACATGTCTCAACCAGGTTTAGTTGTTGTGAGAGCGTTATTTCATATTATCTTGCTTAACTATGAAGGATGAACATACTTCATTTATTCAGATTTGCGCGAGAAGCTGCTAGCTGAAACATGAGGCCAAGCCAAGCCGGCTACCAATCAAAAACTACTGCTCAATGATTTTGGCCCGACCACACCCTGAAGACATTTATCATTGTTCCTGGTTTCGCTAGTTTTTGTTTCCCCCCGAAGTCGTTGTGAGCCGGCGCGTGCTATGTGTTGCCGTGGCATTGTGGTTGAGACGCTCAGATCTCAAAGAGTTCAGCTGCTCAAATCGGGCCTTGGAGGAGAAGATTTCCCGGTCGCGCACAAAGCCCGCAACGCGCGGAGCTGGGATGGTCAGAGGATCTGTGTGAACACAACCATGAGGTGTGATAGACAACTAGAGTGCCGACAACGAAACAGCCAGCTGGGGTGGAGCTGGGACACACTGCGCTCCCAGGTGACTAGAAGTGAAGCTAAAAATGAAGACCTCATAATGACATGGGCCGATTCCAATCACTCTAGGTGCCAGCGAATGTGGGGGTTTCTCAACATAGGGCTACCCGACAACTGTTGTTGGGTTCCTTGTGGTTTCCCTTTAAATACCAACCAACAGGGGGTCCGCAATTTTAAGAGCACCCATGCTGGGGTGAGGGGGTGCGGGGCAGGCGGAGTCGCTGGCGGCGTTGCGTGTGCTCAAAGTCTTCAAAGCAGGCGGGAGCTCGCCACATAGCTATATTTTTAAGAGTTGGAACCACCTCACAAGTGGTGGAAACTAATCCCAATTCTGATGTCCGTTTCGGACCATATCGGGTCTGGGACTCATTTTTATCCTCACACCCATGTGGGTGCTCAAAATTCATTTAGGGTTACGTGGTTTAGTGTTTGGTTCCATTTACCATTTTGGTCCTCTATTTTGAGCCAGGCATTTCCCCTTGGTGGTTTTACACTTGCAATGGGGTGAGACACATGCCAGCGGGCCTGCGGTTGCTTGACGGGCAATGGTAAACCCCGGCAAACCGCGCGCCCGTGCCCCAAGTTCCCTCTCAGTGGGTGGTATAGGTATTATAATGCACGTGTTCGGGAGGAAACAAGACAACACCAACGAACAATGTCAAGGCCAGATCTTGAGTTCCATGTTCGCGTATCGCTGGTATGGCTTGCTCTGCGGGCCTGCGAGAGGATGTCAGTTTCGGGTTTCGCCAATCGGTGATTCTCGCCCTGAAGCTTCCGCCAGTCAGCCCGTTGGGCTTCATCCATGGGCACCCGATCACACTGAAAGCACATGACTTCGCTACGGAAAGCTCATCGTCCTGTTGGTTGGATTTCGGCTGATTTATACAGGTGCTGCCTGGTTGTTTGACCCCGATGCAACCAACTGCCAACAACGAGGCAACCCCGAGTCTGCTTTTTGCTCTTAGTCAGTTGCACAATTGGGTGAACTTTGCCTCTATCCCAAAGTCGAATCCGCGCACTTCGAGCCGTGAAAGCAAGGTACACTTTCGACATCACGGGGTAGACCAAACAGATGCCTCGCCCTAGGAGCCAGCCAGGTACTGTTTCGCTCAGGACCCGTTTGGACCTCTTGTAGAGGGTGAGTGGGACACCACTTCCGAGCCACCGAACCACTCCGCAGAAGCTGAGCACTATAAAGATAGATGATCTGATAGATGTAACATGGGTCTGTTTCAAATAGTAGCGGGGCCACCAAAAAGGCATGCCAAGCACCGGCAGCTAAGCTAGCGCTCGGAAGTGCTTGCTTGCTTGTCTCAAGGAACTTGGGGCTCAGCAAGGGAAAGTCAACCCCAGTAAGCACCTGAAACTGATGGTCCGTGTCAAAACCGTAGTGTTAAGGGTCAAGTCCAATACATTTGCTTGTCAAAAGGAGAGTGAGTGTCGGGGCATACCATGATTTTCTTTGTAGACATTCATCTTTTCTTATGAACAACATGTCTTCTCCCCTTTTCCCAACCAATTTGTTGCCCACCCCTCCCTCAAACAAAACCACACAACGACCATGCAGGAATGATGGTGGAACTCACTGCCCATTCCCAAGCCCCAGCGGGATGGGAAGCCAGGGCTGTCAGAGCTTCCGGAGTCCATCGGCCTTTGCCAGCAACTCGTCCAGCTGGACCTCGGCGGCAACGCGCTGCGGCTCAGCTTGACAATTTTCCGACGGGCGCATGGAGCACGGTTCCAAAGCCCAAAAAGGCTTGCTGGTCTGAGAGGCAGGGGAATGAGATTTGGAATGAGACCGATTTCAATCATGCATGGTTTCCCTTCAAGGGAATCCTTCCGGTTCATTCCCAACACCCGGTCCCTACCTATTGCACCTTGCAGCAAGCACATTCGGGAAGGCACGATTTTGACCAACAGACTCGTGTGAGTGTTTCTGGGATTTTCCGGGAAATCCCGCCTGGTTGTTTCATCCAATGTCATGCTCCGGGGATTGCGAGGCGGATGGTTCCCGGCTTTCGTTGCCGGCAGTTTCAGCCAAGAATCAACGACCAGAGTTCCGGCCCCGCTTTTATTCTTAGGTGGCACACACACGCGCATTGGATGTGGGACAGGATGGGCAACACATTTAGTCAGCGCCGTGTGGCCGACACGGCCGTCCGTTCAGATCCTTCTGCAACCAAATTCACGAAATTGACAATATCCTTGCAGACTCTCCTTTTTCTTATTTCAAATAAACCAGTCATGGGCTTGGAGACATTGAATTACTTTCATTCACGTTGGGCTTGGTGTTTGGCTCACGCAGGCAAATCGTGCAACCGTGTGCCTTGTTTTTACCAATGTCAACCAGGAGAGAAGTGGATGGTTGGCAAAGCGGCCGAATGTCCAAACAAGCCATAGGGCGAAAGAACAGAAGGCGCCACCAGGTGAATAGCAAGAGCTCAAGGACAGATGAATCGCATGGCAGACTCCACTGTTGAATACTTGATATGCAAAGCAGGTGGCACAGAACAGAAATTCCGTGCAGTGAAGTCTGTTCCTATGGTTGATAATGAGCGTGTCTGTTTTCGAGGGTTATCTTTGGGTTACAAAGCCAAAAGGAAACCGCCCACGCCTCGTTTCAGACACACTTCGCTGTCTCAGGAGCAGCTTCGCAGCGATACCCGCGCTGCCGCAGCTGGAGATTCTTTTCGCCTCGGACGCTCGGAGGTCTTGGGTGGTGTGCTTGGAGGGATGGCTGTGGGTTAAAACCAATGGGATCCCATTCTGGGATAGGTGAATTCACCACCCATTTTAGAACCTATTTTAGTGGGGATTGGGAAGTTCACTGCGGGTACGATTTGGCTTTTGACCCATGACCACGTGTCTTAGGGGCTGGGTTTTGCTCTTTTGGCTCGGTTGCCATCGTTGTCCTGGGAGCTTGTGGATTTCCCATTTTGTCGGTCGAGCAGGGAAGGGCTTGATTGCCCCAATGCAAGTCAAGCCACAATCTGCGGCGGGTTACACGGCAAGTCCTGCATTTGAGGTGTTTTTGGGGCTGGCAATTCCTTTGGCTAACCTCCAGTTTGACACCTGGGGTGCACCTTTCCCAGAAGCTTTCAAACGGGCTGTTTTTTCATCGAATGTCACCCTTCTTCCAGCCAAAATCTTTGTTTCCCAAAATGGCCTCCTAAAATGGTGTTTTCCTTTCGGTTTTCCGAAGGAAAAACACAAAAAACAAACACCTACCAAACAAACCTTCGGGTCCGAATGAAGCCCATGAGAACCCAGGACACCGGCCTGGCGCAGCTCCCGGATCTCAGTGCCTGCCCCAGGCTGCGAATGCTAGGCGCGGGGGGAGGAGGCATGTCCGGTGAATGGAACATCCAGAGGCACCAGGGATGGATGGAATGATGCAACCCTAGGAATGCAACAAATACTGGGAGAAGCCACCTACCAAGTGCAGAATTGCGTGGACACTGTCTTTTTTCAAACCTGCTCAGCAGTACAGGAGCACTTGAGTCTTCAACATCTTTTGAACTGCGGCTGACAGTTCAATGGGACAGTAGCTCTCGCGGATGCCATCTAAATAGGGCTCACTGTCATGCAATCACTTTCATGTATAATATGGTCATGACTGGGGCTTGTTTCGGAGTAGCAAGGCAAGCCCCTGACAAATGGTCCAAAAACACACATGCGCAGCCTGAACCCACCCCTTTGTATACCTGAGATCTGGTTGCAAATTTCTGCAATCATCAATGTTCACCGAAAAGACCGAAGGCCGTCTTTCGGGTCTTCTTTTGGCCTCTTTTTTGGGGCCCTTGGGTGTCCGATTCCTCTTGGGGCCCAAAACAAAATCGAGGCCTTCACGGAGCTCAGCGAGTGCGTTGGGGCTCTTGGGCCCAGAAGCCGAACTCGGTCCAGGGGTTTTTGGCACGGCTTGGCCGTGGGCCGAAAACCCGCTCGGAGATTGTCCAAGGAACGTTCGGCGTATGGCTCAAAAGGAGAGTCAGCCTTTCTTCAGGTCACTCGTCTTGGAAACCCACGGAATCGCGGTGTCGATCTCGCTGCTTCAGAAGAACTTCAAGACCCATGAAGGACCCTTGCATGCACGAGTGCGGGGTTGGGATCCCCTCAAAAAGCCATTCAAAAGGGTATCCCCGCCAAGTTGCATGCTTTCATCTCTCAGGTTTGTGCTTGAGCTTGAATGCATGCAGGAAAACGTCCTTGCGCCATGAAGGTGGATGTGCATTTGCCCAGTGCAGATGTGTGCTCCGTGGAAGTCTCACCGGAGACTCTTGTCAGCGAGCTGAAGGCTGCCCTTCAGCAGCATTTCCAGCGCCGCTTGAAGCTCATTGCAAAATGCCGACAGCTTGATTTGACGGCCACCTCCGAATGAGGCCGGGTTGCAAGATGGGGACGTAGTGGTTGCAGTTGTGCAGCCAGGCAAACTAGCTGCCACAGGCGGGGCATTTGCTTTGCATGGCCACCGCGGCGAAGTTGTGACCTGGGGTGATCCACACTGGGGCGGAGAAAGCAGCCGGCTGAGGAATGTGCAGCACATCCAGGCAAACCGCGAGGGTGCTTTTGCTGCCATTCTTGAATCTGGGGCTGTTGTGACCTGGGGCGATGCAGACTGCGGCGGAGACAGCAGCCAGGTGCAAAAGCAGCTGAGGAACGTCCAGCACATCCAAGCAACTGCCCGTGCTGTTGCTGCTATTCTTGAATCTGGGGCTGTTGTGACCTGGGGTGATCCAGGTAGGGGCGGAGATAGCAGGTGCAAGAGCAGCTGAGGAACGTCCAGCACATCCAAGCAACCCGCGAGGGTGCTTTTGCTGCCATTCTTGAATCTGGGGCTGTTTTGACCTGGGGTGATCCAGAAGACGGCGGAGACAGCAGCCAGGTGCAAGAGCAGCTGAGGAACGTCCATGACATCCAGGCAAATCGCGAGGGTGCTGTTGCTGCCATTCTTGAATCCGGGGCTCAGCAGCCAGGTTCAAGAGCAGCTGAGGAACGTCCAGCACATCGAAGCATTTGACTGGGGTGTTTTTGCTGACATTCTTGACACTGGGGCTGTTGTGACCTGGGGTGTGGCAGCCGGGGGCGGAGACAGCAGCCGGGTTCAAGAGCAGTTGAGCCTGCAATCTTGTGTTGTTGTTACATAGATGCCACCAGTCTGGGGCACCAAAAGCGTGTGAAGGAGGAAACAGCAGGTGGACTCCGCAGCAGGATTTGGCGTGCAAAGCGTTGCTCAGAATTGCGGTTGGGGCGAAACCAGCAGCGTGCCGCTACAACGCACACCAAGCCGTCTTGGGGTGTTCTTGGGGAGGGGGTTCCCTTCTTGAATGGTAAGGTGAAACCAGAAAGAAACTAACCACCTGAAGGGGTCCCAAACTTTTTGGGAGACACATGGGGTCTGAAAATGGAGAAAAAGGCTGCCCCCCTGTTGGTAGTTCAAGGGAAACCCAAAGGACACCAACCATTTCAGGGGACGATGTTGAGCCCGAACTAGGCGCGCGTCGATTTTTGCAGCCATGGCGAGAAGCCAAAGCCTTTCCGAATCTGGGGGTCGTCTTCAAAGGGTGCCAAAGGACCCCCCTTTTGGTATCCTTTGGAGAGTAGCAAAAGGAAACTCACCCTTTTGGTGGCCCTAATTTGGAAACAAGCCCATGTTGCATCTATCTTTGTTGCTTTCAGCTTCTCCCCAATTAGTGGCTTGGTTTGGTGGTTTGGTGTCTCGGAAGTGGTGTCCCATCATTTGGAAGGGATCTTCGGAGCAACCCGGGCAAGTCTTCAGGACAAGTTCCAGTTTTGGAAGGTATGACCTGCCCCATGCCCTCACACGCCTCCCCCCCCCGTTGAAGAGATACCGGTGCGCTGTGGTTCCACCCCAAGCAACGGGTATCGCTTGTCAGAGATACCGACTGTTGGATTCGTCGGTCGACCGACGGCGACGTTTTGGACCCCTCGGAGGCGTCAAGGACAACCGGCTGACGGCGCTGGACGGGGACTTGTTGCCCATCACCTTGGAGTGGCTCATTGCCGCGGGCAACCAGATCAGCGCCCTGAATGTTTGGGGCCTTTGTTGGGATGTGATGGCAGAGGGTGGGGTGGGGCGTTTGGGTGTAGGCAATCTGAGCCGCGACTTTGGGGACGGTTGGGTAGGCTGAAGCTGCGTGGCCCAGAGGTCTGCATTGAGTCAGGAGTTCTCGTGATTCCTTTGGGGGTTGCTTCTTCTTGTGTCGCTTTTGTTCATGCCTGTTCGTTGTGGGAGGAGCCAGTGTCAGGGACTGAAAAACTTGAATACTTCAGGTTGCTACCGTAACACACACTTCGAGCACAGATTACACTCCATTTTGGGCTTGTCTCAAAATAGGAGAACCCCCAAAATCGTGGGTTTCCTTTTGGTGCTTAAAGCCATCCAAAAAGGTCACAGGCTGTTAAAAAACCTGGAGGCGATTTCCCTGGCTTTTCTGCAATTTGCAATCTCTGGCTCATGCTTGGCAGTGAACGGGAGAATTAGGACAGCATTGCTTTTATGCCAAAACTGTCAAAAACCTAATGTTTTTTTGCATAGTTGCAGTTCAACTGCCGGAAAATCTGAATCAAACAACTGCAGCCAACGCACGGAAGAAGTCCTTCTGGAAGCTGCTACAGAAAAAAGAAGCGATGCATGTAGCGAAACACGTTAGAGTGCAGCTGAGTTGGTATATCGTCTTGCAATGATGCCATTTGTCCATACATTGAGTCCCCCCTTCTTCCTCCCTAGCCCTGCTCACAAATGCAACTCGACGCATCACAGCCTAACAGCAAACAGCAAGAAAAGCACAAAACGTACCAGGCTTTTTACCAGCCTGTTTCCTCCAAACAGGGTACCCACCAAAAACGACAAACCCATATGAGTCCTAGGTTCTTTCGGAAGGCAGTGTCTGAAGACCGCAGCGAGGTGAGTCAGGCTTTGCACTCAAAGTGGGGTAGTGGGGTCGGGCCTTTTATGGATATTGAGCCCCGACATCTATGGCCTCGAATCGCCACACCTCAGCGATTTATTTCCATTGGTTCCCATCGAAAGCGGTCCCCGAAGGGTTCCTGCTTGTGACACATGCCACATCAGGCAGGCCAAGAGCAGAGGTCACCACTGTGGTTACAGCCTGGAACCAGCCAAGCCCTAGAGCCTGTTTCCCACATCGCCTTTCGTCGCCAGCATTAATGGAGTTTGTTTCCCTTGTGTGGGCGGTGCTGTTTCAAGAGGAGACGCTTCTTCAATCGAACTCAAGAGTCGCCACAAGGGTGTTTTACCTGGTATGAGGGTGGTGGGGAGCAATGAGTACCGACTAGAGGTATGGCGATCGCCTACGGTGCAGTATTGGCTACGGGTGCGCTGGGTCCCGGGTACAGGCAGTGCAGTAGGTACTGGTACCGTCAAGATTCGCACTGGACATGGTCGAGACCAAAATGTGGTGAGTACGGGGTAGGCATGGTCTGTGGGGCACGCTGAGGGTTCCAGACCGCTGTGACACACTGCATCGGCGCCCTGGATTTGAAGAGCGGCTCTCCAATAAAAAGAAAAACACGTCCAAAGATGCAATTGGGCCATTTCAAGCATTGGTTGTTTTCCACCAGACCAAGGTCTGCCGCCAGTTTTTGGGTGCTCAGGGGCTCAGGCTAGATCCCCGGGTCCCTCGAACTCTGGAAACTCTAGGCGAGCTGCCGAACCTGGGCCGCCTGGGCAAGGTGCGGAAGTTGATGCTGAGCCGCCCGGCCCATCCATCCCACGGGGCGGGGAGGACTCAGCTCTCGGGGGTTGCAGATGGCCATCCCTTGTTTTGGGTTCGGCGCGGTAAGAATTTGGCGACCCTTTTCAATGAATTTGGTCTGAAGGGTAAAAGACAAAGTGTCCAAATAGGGTCACCCTTTTGAAACGTAGGGTTGAAGGAAGGGGAAGGAGCCGAGGTTTGTCTCACTCACCCCTGACCCCTGGGTTGGTCCCAACGGTGACCTGGGGTCCCTTCGATGGTTTTGGGCTTCAAGTTGATCTTTTCCATGGGTCCTTCCCTTGGTGCCATATGGGTCTGTCTTTTTTTGAGCCTCGCACCCGTTTTGGGGTCTCTTGAACAAGGGGTAACCCGCCATTTCCTTTTTTCAATTTTAAGACACCCACATGTATGTTCCGGGGGGGGGGTTGGTGGCCTGGGGACTGGAACAGAAAAAAATGCTCCAGTCAGGCCAACAACGCCCTCCCGGGTACGAGGCCACAACCGCCTGAGCTGCGCGGCGCTGGCGCCGGTGGCGCGGATCGAGGCCTTGGAGATGCTGCGGGTGGCGGCGAACTGCCTCGAGGCGCGCGCGCGCGCGCTCGGGCCCGCGCTGGAGGTAGGCTGAAGAGGGCTGTGGGTTAAAACCAATGGGATCCCATTCTGGGGTAGGTGAATTCACCACCCATTTTAGAACCTATTTTAATGGGGATTGACCCATGGCCAGCTGAACGGAATAACCTTTGGGGTGGCTCAAAATGAAATACCTGGGGGCAAACCGCAGGTCTTAGTCTTTGGTTCCGTTTACCAAGGTGCCATTTTTGTTTGACATCGCCCCCTTTTCCTCTGAAAAGGGTACAAAGGGACGAGGGTGTTTACTCAACTCCAAAAAGCCAAGGGTACCAACTCCCAAACACACAAGCCGACCTCAGGGCAATTTGCAATGTGGGTGTGCTCTTTGAGGTACCCTTTCGACATTGGTTTGACGGGAAAGCAACATATGAATCCACAGTTTTTGGCGCCCAAGTCTATTTTGAAACTACCCATGTCCCAGTTGCCCGGTGACGGTGGAACAAATCCACCCAAACACAAGGCACTCCTCTGGTTTGGATTGGCGGTTTAGGGATTTGTGAGCCCCTGGTTCTTGCAGATGAAAGGTAAGCCTGTAAGCCACTTGCCTCTCAGCCACCGGGCTATCAATTAGGGAATCTGATGGGCCCAGGCCACAAGAATCCGACTGATGGACGAAATCCTGCACTTGCAGTTGGGTTTCATGCATCCCAACAGGTGCGAGGGTTTGTCCATCCACAGTATGGCCGCATCATTCCACCAGTATCCAAGTTAAAGGGAACCACCGACCGACCAGTTCCTGACTTGAACCCCCAGAAATGGTCAAAAACGGGCCTGTCTTTTTTCTGGGCACCCCTTTTTTGGTGGCTTAGGGAAACCAAACGAGTTGAAAACCTCTGAAAAGAGAGAGACCCACCCATGACCCCAGACTCCCAATGGGGCATTCCACGCGTCCGAGGCCTTCCCCGAAGAGCTGCTGTCGCACCGCCGGCTCGCCTGGGTGGCGGTGGGGGGCAACCCCTTCGCCGAGGAAGCCCTCGGCAGGCGGGTGACCGCGCGGCGCGCGGGATACCAGAGCTCAGCCTCGGAATTGCTTCCCCTAACTTTGGTGTTGGTTTCTGAGCGCGCACGGACCCGACCGTGGTTGTAGCTACGTATACATATATACATATATACAGAGACAAGGCATCAGAAAAGGTTACACACATTTGGAAAGTGTCAGGAGTGGCCAGTAATGTCTTGCATCGTCGAGACAAAGCAAACTGCAAAGCCGTTAAATCTGATTTGGGAGAAGTGCTGATCCCCTGAAAATCACCCTGTGGACGCGCTACAGAGGGGAACTGGCCTTTCCAACCAAAATCATCAGCAGACTTCTGGCCTTTCCAACCAAATCTCCTTTCCAAACCTCCTCCAAAAGCGGATCTTCTCCCTTTTTGGCCCCATCCAACTGTTCGACGTCGGGCCGCCAGGACCCTGGCCACCGGCGCCGCCGCGAGCCTCGACTTCTCCGAGGTGACGCTGGGGCCGAAGCTGGGCAGCGGCGCGGGGGCCACGGTCTACCAGGGCACCTGGGACCAGAGGCACGGGAGCCGCATGGAGCGCCACGCCATCTGAGTGTTTTTTTTTTTGTAGGGGAACCCCCCCCCCAAAAAAATGGTTGGCTTCCTAGAACAAACCAAAAGGGGATCCAAGAAAAATATACACACCTATGGAGGTTGGTCCCAGGTGAGTTTATGAATTTCTCGCAGAGTCAGCAAGCGAAAGCCGGAGGCTTTTTTTGTGGCGACTTGATAAGAGCTTGTAGCCACCGGCTCATTTTTTATTTGGCCATCTTAGGGGACCACGATTTGGAGGGGCGTTTGGCAAGGGGACTTTCAGTGCTTGGACGGCAGACAGCCCGAGCATACGACACCGATTCCTATTACGCATCCTTGTCCGAGGACACTTTGTGCTTTTCAGTTGCAGACTCATTCGGAAACCACTGACTTTGGCTCGCATTTTTGGCTCATGTGTTTTTTTTTGTTGCAAACTCCTTTGGTTATTCAGCTGTAACTCCGTTGGAGGCTGCTGATTTCGTCCCAAAGAAGTGATAGGAGCGTGGCGGTGAAGATCTGGGACGCGGAGCGCTTCTCCGACGGCACGGCGCTCACGGAGTGGGGCGCCAACCGCGTGGCCTCCTCCCCAGGCCACGAGGTGCGCCTCCGGCGCGAAATTTGGAAGCTAGTGGGAAGAGACACATACGGTTCAGTTTTCACACCAAACATGCCGTTCACCTCCCCCCTCGAAAAAGAAAAAAGAAAAACAACAAGCAAATAAAAGAACAAACGAACACCGTTCTTCCTCCGTCCCCCAAAAAATGGTAAAAAGGGGGGCCCGGGGGGTGGCCTGTTGATGGTTGCCTGTTCTGGTTTTTTATGTTCATCTCAAATCTGTGTTCCCCCTTCTTCGTTTTGAAAAGGGGTGTTTTGGGGAGGGGAAATATCGTTTTGTTAGAGGTGGTCATTTGGGTAATTGTCCCCCTTGTTCATTGTTGGTCTGGGGGGCAATGTTTTGAACAATTGAATGAGGTTAGTCATTAAGTTGTTGCGTGGTCTGGGGAGTTGGGTGGTGCATTTGGTTGCGTCCTTCTTGGCTGGCGGCCGCGTCATCATCGACTTCGTCCTCGTTCTTTCTGTCCGGATGCCCAGATGCAAAAGAGACGGGAGTGTTTGTTTGCCATTCTGATACGGGCCTGGTGTATGTCTGCACCCTCATCATCAACATTCACAAACAAATCTTCTTCACGTTCAAGCCGGATGATGCAGAGTGTGCAGCCGCACACAGAAGTTCTGCCAGAGGCTGTGCGGCATGAACTTGAGCAGATTTTTCTTGGCAAGCAGCATTTGGCTCAAGTTATCAAGCCACCAATCTAGGACAGGAAACTTTGTGTTCCATGTCCAACGTGTTCAGACTCTTGGATGAAATGCCCGACGGTCACAGAAAAAAGGCAAGACTTGCAATGGGAGAGATGGAGGGTGTGATGAAAGGAGGGTATGATGAAAGAGAAGGAGGGCGTGATGAAAGAGAGGATGAAAGAGAAGGAGGGTATGATGAAAGAGAAGGAGGGTGTGATGAAAGAGAAGGAGGGTGTGATGAAAGAGAAGGAGGGTGTGACGAATGAATTGGTGGTTGAGCTGAAAGAGAAGTACAACAGACTGGTACAGGAGCTAGCAGAAGTCAAAGCAGTCTATGCTACCCGACCGTTGCTGGAACTCGCATTGACTCGATTTATGGAAATGAACCCAGATTCGCCTACACATTCGTGGACGGCTGTCAGTGAATATTTCTTGGACACATGGATTTTCGATTCAACAACCAATCTGCCACAGCAGTGGGTACAGAAAAAGCTCGTCAAGCTCAACAAGCACTTTCACTGGTCCATCAATGCGTACGATGACATGCTGGCGTTGGCTTCGTGATCAGTGGTGAGAGCCCGATGACCACAGCGGCAGCAGCACTCGTGATCAGTGGTCTGCGTGGGCAACGGTGCCTGACAGAATCAACTGTGGTCTCGGTCTTAGGCAGTGAGGGTCGGGTGCTTTGGATCGCCAGTGATGGCAGGCTGACAAACAAGTCACCTATTGCCTAATGAAGCAGTGTGCAGAGCAAACAAATCTGAATAACACTAGCGTCAGCGTGGACGAAAAAGCACGCTGCAGCAGCGGCGAAGGAACACCATCAGGGCCTGATGACAAATTGAAGTCTCATTTCACGTGCTGGTCCGTGCATGTGTGTTCTGGAGGGCGGGCGACCAGCCCCAAATGTGAATGAGAGTGCGCTTTCAAGCTGTTAGACACAGTGATGTAGTGGTCTGAACAGGCGACCACATAAGCCGTCGCATGAGGACAAAGCGGTTTGCCAACCGTTGCAAAATTCGAATCGCAAGAAGGGACATTTTGCGGGAGGGTGCAAAATAGATTTCGGGTAGGTGCAAAATCGCCCTAAAATGGTCAAATTAGGTCGGGGTTTCTCATTTTACGGGTTGGTGCAAAATAGCCTTTTTGATTTTGCGGGGGGTTGCAAAATAGATTGCGGAGGGGTGCAAAATAGATTGCAGAGGGGTGCAAAATAGATTGTTGAGGGTGGAAAAAATAGATTCAATAAACATGTTTGCTTTCACCATGCCCTGAGGTTGAGAAGACAAGCGGAACATCACCTACCACATCTGTCGTCTTCATGGTTATGTCGCGGGTTCGCTGTTGAAGGGAGGGTTCAAACAATTTGGAGGTGGAAGTGGAGAAGGGTTCAAATGAGACACTTTCAAGGTTGAGGTGGAAAAGGTTTCCAACATGGCACTTTGAAGGTTGAAGTGGAGAAGGGTTCAAATGAGACACTTTGAAGGTTGACATGGAGCAATGTTTCAACCAACACTCCCACCAACCCCACCAACCCCACCAACCCCGCAACCCCACCAACCCAACCCTAACCCACTCGTTTGTCCTGACCCTTTCAGAAGGCACCCACCTCTTCATCTACAAGGAACTGGGAAGGACGGGAGGGCTTTTTCATTGAAACCAATGGGTAAATAGAAGGGTTTTCGGTTCAACCCTTGCCACCCTCAAGATTTCAAGGGATTTTCAAACACATTATCGGGTTTCCACTGTTTCCCAAACTACCCATTTCACCTACAAATTCCACCAACCCCAAATTTTGACTTTACTGTATTGTTAATCCAACTCACCCAGATGTTTCAAGTTTGAACCCAAACCCAAAGCTGACAGACTTAGAACACAAGAGAAACAAACGCATCACTAATTAAATCAGTAGGGATTTTATATAAATCATCTTGTTTATGTTCACATACACAACACTCCATTCAGATTTCTTACCCGATGGCAACCTTTGAGCAGTTTCAAGATGTTTACCATTCCTTACTTTACCACAATTCCCACAACATAAAGGCTTAGGTATCCATGTTGTTATGTTAGTCCACAACCTTGTTCCCTTCCGATAATTGAACCCATACATACAATAATCCACATCAACATACCGAAGACCACTCATGAAGGGTTGTTCCTTGAAAAGACCCGTCTGAGGATTTTCAATCACCCACCAAACCGGTTTAAAATAATCAAGAATCTCAAGAGTTTTCAAAACAATACTATTAGCATAATCTATCTTTCTAAGTCCTGGTGTTTTAGCTCTACTGTATTCGGTGCATGGAGGGGATGCCCAAATCACATCAAACTCACCCACATCAAACTGTTTATAATCCCAACTCAAATATCAGTATTGATATTTGCATTTTTCAAATCAAGGGAAATAACACTAGAACCCAAATCCCGAGCAACCCGACCAACCGAGCCTGTCCCTGAAAATAATTCTAAGAATTTCATATTATTAGAACTATTTAGATTATTATTTTATGGAGTAATGTCGCGAAGCTCATTAGGCTATTACTTTGTAATAGCGTAATGTCCATAAGGCAGTGAAGTGAAAGCATCAATATAGAACCTTTTATTTTCATAATTACTCAGACTTTGCTTTACTTGAGACATTGAATATATTTGATGTGACTTACTCCGAATAAAATTATATGTGATTTCGTGCTTTTTTGTTTTGAAATAATGCTTCGTGATAGTTCTGATATGACAGTCTTTTTTCACTTTGTGTTTCACTACACCTTTTGATTTCTTATGTTCATCATCCTCACCGTGAATTGTGAAGGCATATGATTTAGGTTTTAGTCCAATGAATTTAGCAATGATTTTTCCATTCACTTCATCCTTAAACATTCCTAAGACCTTTTTATTAGTTTTGTCATGACATGGATGCTCAACAGGATAGTCGCTAAAATCCATGTGTTGCTTTATATCATTGAAATCCTTATAGACATCATCAGTCATTGTTTGAATTACATAACTGTCAGTATCGGTATAAACCAGTTTTATGTTTTCATTGTATTTTTCTTAAGGACATCATAGTAAAACTGATACATATGTAATTTGCTTAAATCTAAAATGCTCATTCCCAGGAAAATCGGTTTATCCAGTTTCAGTTTTGCTTTAGTTTTTTCAACTCCTACGAGATTTTCATTAATATTAAATCTGTTTTTGAATGTTGGGTTATTCACGCATTTTTCGTATCTAACTTCGTTATCAACCAGTTCAAAGTCCATATGGTTTCTTTTGTCCTCCATGGTTTTTCCATACACCGCGTTATTCATTAATTTGAATAAATCTTTCTCAAAATCGCTTTTGGCTTCTTTCCTTTTACCAGTGTTGAAGTCAATCCACGGTTTCAACCACGCCCTTTGTTGAAATTTTATCATCCTATGGACTTTGGTCATTTTCAATCCCATTTTCAAATAATACTGTAAAGTCTTGATATGAACCACATATTTTTCTTTATCCTTTAGATTTAATATTAACTTACTTGTTTTCTCGTCCTTCGGGGTTTTTCCATCATAGTATATTTTGTAGACTTGCTTTTGATAATCGGAAAGCATATTCACATTTACAGTCATTATTTCAGGCGCTAGTGGATAGTCGGAGTGGAAGTCGTGCAATGTTTCGGGGTATTCCAAATCAACTTCCAGAATATAACCAAACTCATCGTTTTCATTCCAATTTTCAACACTGGGCGTTTTCTTTGCCCACTTGATATTTTTTAGCGGTAACTTCTGGGACATTGCCAAACCATACAAGTTATTAGCATCCAAGTAACTAATATAATTTGATGGCTTGTTCTCATCATATGCTTCCCCCATATACTTATTATTTGCCACTGCTAATTTATGACTGACTTGACACATACCACCTCTCATTCCCTTTTCAACCATCTCAAACATTTCTTGGTCATGCAATTGTTCTATTTTAACGCCAGTTTTTAGAAGCATCGCGTCCAACGCAAAATGTGGTAACGTATAATAATGAGCGGGGTCTAAACCGTAGTATTCCATACACAAGCCCCTAAAGTTTTCAAATACATCGGTCAGTAGTAAAACATCAGTTCTTAACTACAGGTTGTGATACTGTCCGAGTGTTCTAATCCCGAAGTGCTTCCATACTTTCAATGCCCTTTCATAATCTTTATCACTTACATGTTCTTCACTCGATTTACTGTAAAACGCTTCTTTCGGTGGTAAAGCCCTTTCCTTAAATCTTTCAAAATCATCAAAGTAGTCATAGGGATAAATACCCTTATCAGTCAAT